GCAAGACATCTACAACTCCACTGACGAGTTACATGTAGTATGTCTATTGACAGGAACAGAAGACATAAAATTTGAAGAGGCGGTACTTGATGAGAGATGGAAGAAAGAAATGGATGAGGAGATCGGATCAATTGAGAAGAGTGAGATGGGAAGCAAAGCTGAGCTAGTTGAGGAGTTTAAAGAAGTGATGAAGAGGGAGTTTGAGATGACCGATTTGGGCATCATGAAGTATTTTCTGGGTTTAGAGGTGGATCAAAGAACAACAGGTACTTTTGTGTCCCAAAAGAGGCATCGGCCACCGCGGCGCCGGGGGTGCTGGACATCGTGTGGCTCGCGGGACCATGGTACGCGGAGGAGTATCGCGCTCTGGTGGAAGAGGCATCGAAATCAAATAAAAAATAAAAATTTAAGCTTATGGGAGAGTTTTGTTAGATAATCTTAAATTTTAAAGATATCCGAGTTAGTTTATCTATTTTATTTGTTTCAGTTTAGATAAGATAGTTTTTGATAAAATTTGTTTTGATAAGATATTTTGTTATCTTCTTGTTAATTTGGTACGTTGTACAATGGCTATTTAAAGGCCATCTCTTATTCAATAAAAAGTACAGTGAGTTGCTACATTCACCCAATACTAGTATTACTCGTCTCTCTTATTTTCTACAGTTTTCCCTAAAACTATGAACAATTAATGAACCAAATTTATGCCTTCACTGTTCTGTAACAATTAAAAATTAAAAATTAACTATGATTAACAAAATCGGTGTATGGAATGAAAAAACCTCAGGGTGTTATGATAGCAATAATGCATAACCAAACAAGGAAAAAGCTACACGATGATAGCTATAAGAGAATTCATAGAAATAAAATAGATCATATCCTTAATCTATATATTTAATTGTTATACTCGATTTCCTTCAAACTCGAGTTTGTTATTGAGTTATTCTTGCCACTAACCGTAACATCCTCACTGTGTTTAGGTTCCTTAATTACCCCTTCAACACCTTCACATATTACATTTCCTCCCCATTAAAATCAACCTTCTCCTCAAGGTTGAAGTCCTAGTAATTTTCCTTAATGGCAGCATAATCTTCCCACGTTGCATGAGACTCTTCCAAGCCTTCTCATTGTACGAGAACTTGAGTTACTTGTTGATCACCTTTGAGAATGATACGTGATTTCAACACTGATAAAGATTGTAGAATAGGGCCAATCTCATTAGTTACCATAGGTAGAGTTTCAATTGTGAACAATGGAAAACTGGGTGAATCTTGGCAGAAGGTGGCAATAATAGCTTGTAAGCTACAGGTCCAACATGTTGAATGATTGGAAATGGTCCAAAGTACCTTAACCCAAGCTTCTAATTCTTCCGTAGGGCTAAGGAATTTTGTCTATATGACTTTAACTTGACCAAAACCATGTCCCTAACTTCAAATTCCACTTGACACCTCTTCTGATCAACAATTTTTTTCATATGTTGTTGTGCTTTAATCAAATTTTGTTTTAATTGTGCCAGAATGATATCACGTTGTTGTAATAAATTGTGAATGTTAGGTGAAACATTGGACTCTAGAGTCTAGATCATATTTAACCACTAAAGGAGGATCTTTTCCATATATGATTTTAAATGGTGTCATACCAGTGCTGTTGTGATAAACAGTGTTATACCAAAATTCTACCCATGGTAAGAACTTTTTCCAGGCCTTAGGATTCTCATAAGCAACGAAGATACACTTCTAGGCAATGATTAATTACCTCAACTTGACCATCAGATTGTGGATGATATGTCGTACTCATAGTTAAGATTGTGACACTCAATTTGAACAATTATTTCCAAAACTGACTCGTAAATATCTTATCTCTATCAGAGACAATTGTCTTTGAAAAACCATGGAGTTTAATCAATATCTTCATGAATAATTCAGCAACCTGGGCACTCATATAATCAAATTTTAAAGTTGCAAAATGAGCATACTTCGAAAGTTTGTCCACTACAACAAATATTACCGTGAACCCATTCGAAGGAGGAAGTCCCGAAATAAAATCCATAACTATGTCATCCCATATTTGACTGGGAATGGGTAAAGGTTGCAAAAGGCTTGCAGGTAATGTATTAGAGGCTTTAGCTTGTTGACATATAAGGCAATTCTTGACATACATTGCAATAT